AGGTCTCCGCGGCCCCACGGCCAGACACCACATCTCCCGCAGCAGAATCAGTGTGGACAGAGTGACATCCACGTTCAATGTGTACATCGCCACATTCAGAGCCAATGCGAAAAGCTTCACGCCCAAAATCTGCGTGCGATTCCCCGCAACCAGAATTCGGTTGGAGGCCCCCCAGTCCAATTCAATGTATGTTCCCCCCGCACACGAAACCACGTTGTACATCGAGTGGCCCCACGCCCAGGAGCGGCGGCGGCATTGACAAAACGCCAGTCGATAATAGGAGTACGCGCAGGCACCGGACAGAAGTGAGGCCTTCGCCCGTGGCATCCAGCCAACGCCTTTGACTTTGGCGCTTTGCTGGCGCGGCGGCGCTGCTGCGTTGACGCTCGTCCCCCCCCTCCTCCTCCTCCTCCCTCCTCCTCCTCCTCCTCCTCCTCCTCCTCCTCCTCCTCCTCCTCCTCCTCCTCCTCCTCCTCCTCCTCCTCCTCCTCCTCCTCTCTCCTCCTCCTCCTCCTCCTCCTCCTCCTCCTCCTCCTCCTCCTCCTCTCCTCCTCCTCCTCCTCCTCCTCCTCCTCCTCCTCCTCCTCCTCCTCCTCCTCCTCATGCTGGTGTCATGCCACTCTTCTACGGATCTCGAGCCCGGGATCTTGACACTTTCTGACCTGGATTGCCGTCGCAGGGGGGGGTGCATGGCGTGGGCCTGTCAAGACACTGGCGAAAGATTCGGCAACCCGTCTGGCGCCCTCCTCTTCGTGTGCATCGATACCATTTTCCCGAGCATGATGCAAGGCAGCGCTGGGCCCACTGCCGCACGTCGCCCTCCCTGGCCAGCAGTGGGCACGCCGCCGACGTCGACAACCTGCGGCGAGGCGTCGTCGATTTCCTCGTCCCAGCGCCCCAGCTGGCGGGGGCAGCATGGCTGGCGTCCACTGCTTTGAATGGTGGCGTCGCACGGGCTCCAGTATTCGGGCACCTTTTGGTTATGGCGTTTAACTTTACGTGATAATCTACGCCTTTGAAAGCCACGAGCAAGTACGGCTCCGTGAAGGCGTCGCTCTCGCCAACGACCTCGCCTTTCATGCCGTGCAAGATTTCCTTTTTTTCGGTGCCCTCGAGGCTGGCGATTCTTGACACTTCAAGTTACCATTGCCGCCAAGGCGTAGCCGATGAACCGCGGCGGGGGCTCGTCACCGCCGTCGCTGGCCATCGCAACGAGCGGGTGCCAACATAGGAAACCGGCTGGACAAAGGAAAGACAAGCAAGGGGGCAACAACGACCTAAGAAGTGAGTGCGTGACCATGGCAACCCCATCGGCGCGCAAAGGACTGCGGGTGCAGCGAGCAACTAAGTATGAGCACGGTGCAAATAGCACATGCAGCATGCGCGAGAAGAGGAGGAAGGGCGACGGAAGGAGGGAAGCACGAGAAGAGGGAAAAGGGGAACAGAAGACACAACGCCGAGCCCTGCAACTCCACTGCTCATCCGGCCAGTCCCCCGAGGGGCGGACCTTCGGGCGGTTGTTCCGGCCCCTAAGTTGCTGGCGCGCCGCATCCAAGGGGGGAAATTCGCAACTCGTTCTCCTTCCCGCGGCGCGGGCGCCTCAGACAACGAGGAAGACGAGGAAGAGGCGGCAGAGGAAGAGGAAGAGGAAGCGGAGGACAAAACGAAGACACCGAGACCCTACTCAGGTGCGGTGCATCGGGAGCGGGAGTCACGGGAGGAGGCCGCGCCCACAGTGAATGGTTGCAGCCAGGCGCCGCCCGCGTCCATCACCCGGTCGCTCGGGGCGGCGCCCGCAGCTTTGACAGCGGCGTAGGCCGGCGGCGCCCGGCGCGCGAATCGAAAACTCAGGTCCACCGTGAAACGCGGCCCCGGCAACAGGATCTCGCCCAACCGAGCGCCAGGCCCCGGCGCCAGCAGACCCAGCCCGCGGCGCGCCAGGCCCGCCCGTGCGCTACATGACGCAGCGTTGACTGCTGCCTCGGCCGCGACCGCAGCAGAGAAAGGCGGTGCGATGTCACCTGCGCGCGGGCGCGCGCCGTCCGCCCGCCCAGGGAAGCTCGTAAAGACCGCCGCCCCAACGCACGGAGGCGTGCATTTGCTGATCCTCGGATTGCAAAAAAACGAAGGATTGCAACAAAAACGAAGGATTGCAAAAAAGGATTGCAAAAAAAACCTTCGTGCAAACGAAGGTTTTTTTTTGCAATTTTGTTTTGCAATCCTTCGTTTTTTGCAATCCTTCGAACACGGCGAACGCTCGGTCGGCCTGGCGGCCTGGGAGACTACCTGCCATGGCCAATCGTCAAGTTGGCGCCGCGCGCGGCGGTGGAGATCGTCGGGCAGCCGCGCGCGCAGAAAGACAGGACAGCGTTTTTGTTGCCCGTGTTCTTCGTGGGTTGCCATGGCCCGATCACCTTGCGCATAGTTCATTGAAAGTGAATGCGCCCCCAGCAGCCTCGACAGCGAGACGGCCCTGGGCCTGCGCCACGTTTGCGAGGAAATTGTGCTCTGCAGAGCCTTTCCAAGCAGTCCTGCGATCGAGCCAAATGCGCGCGGCCATTGCCCCGGCCAGAGCACGGCGGCGCTGGCCGATATCGAGGCCGCCGAAGCCAACGTTTCCCCAGCGAGACAACGCCTGCACTTCGCAGCGAATGACGCCGATCGAGCGCGTGGGAACGCTGAGGGGGAGCCCAGCCCCTGTAGTTGACCCAGCGCAGCTGGGGGGGCCGAGCCCCGAGGTCCTGGGAAGAGGGCCGTGCGCGACGCGCGCTCGACGTCGCCCGGATCTGGCGGTAAACCCCCCAGCTGCATCAAGCAGCTCGCCAGGGAGAAAGTTCACGCGCGGTGAGAGATTATGGGGGCCAGCATACTTTCGCCGATGGAGCGCCAAAACTTCGCCCTCTCGCGCGCCCTCCGAACTGCGCTTGACCACGAATCGTGGTTTCGGCCAGGGCCCATGTAGAACCCGGGGACCTCGGCGCGGTCGGCGATGGTAGAGTCGCCCCACGTGGGCGCGCATCTCAGGATATCTTCTCCGAGCGTCGCATGGAGACTTGTGGGATGCGGGTGGGGGGGGGGCTTCGTATTTTCCGAAGTGAAATCGCAGTCCGAAGACGCGCGCGCACTCGCTGAAGACGGCCCCCATCACCCCCAAGTCACGATGTCCTTCTTGGAAAGCCATCTCAGGTCGTCGGCGCACGCGCGAAGCACCGACCGGTGATGTAGCCGAGAGTTCTCGCGGCGGCGCGTCTGAAATCACAGCGAAATTCAGCGGTAAGAGCGAGCAGCCACGCCTGGCCCCAGCGGGCAAATCAGACCCCCCCCCGCGAGGAGGCCCAGGCGAGCGCGCGCCGAAGGGCCCCCCCAAGAGAAAAGCCGGAGTGGCACGGCGCTCGCGCAGCCGCAGGCCCGCCGCGGGACAGCCCTCCCGAAGCGAGAGAGGACTCCGAAGACAGCAGCCTCGCGGAGAAGGGCAGCGTCGGAGCGGCGGCGCAGCGTCGAGGCAGCTAGAGGAAAGGACAAGGAGCGGGGACGGATGGGGGGGCGGTAGGAGGGAAGGGGAAATGGGGGGTGGCAGAAGAGCAGAGCCGCGCGGTCTTGGACAGCGCCCACATCAATAATTCGCGCTCGCAGGGCGCAGCTTGCCACGCGGCGCTGAAAGCCGCGCCGCGAGCGAGGCGGGGGCGCGGCGCTTCGCGGCCTGCTGCGGCGCGGCTAAGCGAAAGGAAGCTGCAGCGCTGCGCCGCGCCGGGCAACTGGACGACCGTGGCGAGTGAAAACCGCGCCGACCGAAGGGGGAAGCAACGCATCCCCCCGGGCGCGACAAGCAAGGGCGTCGCCACTGCAATGGAATAACCGCAGATGCGCACACGCCCGTGGAAAAGACAGGCCCGCGCGTCGAAACAAAGACGCCGCCGCGCAGCGCGGCGCGGTTGCAAACCAGAAAATACGCGCGCGCGTCAACGCAGAACCGCCGACACGCAGCGCAGCGCGACTGCGAAGCAGCATGAGGGCGCGTCGCAACAATAATGTCGCCACAATGCGCAGCGCGCCTGCGAGGCAGAACAAATAAGTCGAAACGACGATGCCACCACAATGCAGAATGAGTGTGGAGCCGAAGCGCAAGTGTCAAACAGACGCGGTGTTCCGACGCGAAATGCGTTGAATACGCAGCCAGCCACGATGCGAGGGCGCCGGGTGCAAGCACGATTGTAGGCCGAAGATGCCCTTACCAATGCGAGTCGCGCGCCAATGCTTCGCTGCAGACGCGCTTCTGAGGCCCGCGGGCCCTCCGCCCGGCAACGGTCCCAGCCGAATCCCAGCCGCCGCCCGGCAATGTCCCAGCCAAATCCCGGCCGCCGCCCAGCCGCGGCCCATCCGCCGCCAAGCCGCGGCCCAGTTGCCGCCCCCCCACAGAAGCTGCCGCCCCTCCAAAAAAAGCCGCCAACCGCAAAATCCCAGCCGAATCCCCGTCGCGGCCCAGCCGCCGCCCAGCCGCCCGCCGCCCAGCCAAATGCCGGCCGCGGGCCCTCTCCCCGAGGGCCCCAACATGGCCTCATAGGTCATAGGGCCTCGCAGGAAGGAGGGGCGCGATGGAGAACGGGAGGAGCGCGATGGAAGAGCATGGCCGCAGAGGGGGGAGGGGAGACCGCCCAGAAGGAAGGGCGGGAGGAACGGCATGGATGGCGCGAAGGGAAGGCGGGAAGGCGACGGAGGAAGGAAGAGGAAGGAGAGAGGCGGAAGAAGGACGGATGAGGGAGGCGAGAGGGAAGACAACGGAAGACGGGAAGAGGAAAGGAGGGGCAACCGATGAGGATTGAGAAAGGAAAAAGTGAGGAGGACAAGGACAGGGGGGATAGGGATTGGGCATGCGGAGACCTGGGGGGACATACCAGCGACGTGAAGACGAAGGGGGAACTGTTGGCGACAAAGAATACGATAGTGATAATGGAAGCAACTGATCACAAACTTTACGTGCGATGGCCAGCGACGGCGGTGACGAGTCCGCGCCCAAGGCTGCCGCCTGGGCCTCCGCCGACAGCGAGCTCCTGCACAGACGCTGCAACTTCTTGGCCAACACCATGGCCACGAAAGGCGCGGGGGTGCCAGCTTTGAGCTCGCCCGCGGGTCCGATGAAGATCGCGTGCCGTCCTTGCGAAATGCAGTCATCCGTCATGGCGGCTCGCACAGCTCGCGCCGGTATAGCTGCCAACTCGCAGGTTGTTCCAGGTCCTGACGAACCCGAAGTATTGTCCCACGTCCGCGTTGGCCGAGCTCGCATCCAAGAGGCCCTGCACGGTGGCTCGACCCGTCGCCGAAGCTCGGAAGGACACATCATCCTCTGCGATGGTCACTCCTTGGGCCGCTGGCCACCGCAACTGTCCACTCTGGGTCCGGAAGTTCGCAAGCTCCTGCGGCGACAGCGCACTCGTGGGGTCAGCTCTCCGATGCTTCTCGGCGGTGATGGGCTTCACCGCGTGTAGGTACTTCTCGAACTTGAGGGTCGCGCTGTAGGTGCTTGGGGGCTGCTCCACTTCGCTTCCAGTGGAGATCAGACTCGGTCCGAACTCCCACTTGCCGAGTTTGAACCTCTCGCTGAGCGCCCCTAGCCGCGCCTGAAAGCACTCGGTGACGTCAAGCTTCGCGTGGATGTCCCTTTCGTTCGCCGCGCCCTCGCCGCGCCCGATGAAGTCGTCCGCGCGCGGGCCGATCAGGCCGTCCACCGCGTAGGTCTGGCCCTCGAAGCTACCCGCGTCGAACGGGTCGTCGTCGACCCTCGCCGGGCGCAGGGGCAACACAAGGCAATCCTCGACCTCGCGGTTTCTGAACCCGACGACCTGCGCGTTTTCGTCGGAGCGGTAGCGCCGGAGCTTGGGCGACCGCGGGTCACCAAAGCACGGCTTCATCATATTGAGCAGATGCCCAGGTCGCAGACCGATCTGTCGAGAGAGCATCTCCCTCGTCTTCTTCGTCGGGCTCGCGCACAGCTCGAGGCCGCGTGCGCTCGCGCCCTCGGCCTGCAGGGATTTGGACTTCACATCCGCGCTGAACAACCTCCACTTCCGTAGAGGCGCCCAGAGCATGGCCGCGCGCCGGCCAAGCCTGCTGAGGGTCGGCGCCTCATTGTCGAGCTAGCCTTCGGAGACGTCGCGGTGTTTGAACCCTCGGTAGAGTACACGCGCGTTGGCCACTTTTTGCCCATCCTTCATCTTCCACTTGAGTAGGAAGCGTAGAGGGCAGCAGGCTCCGGGATCCACCTCCGCCTCGTTGATGGGACCCCAGCCGCCGTGGCGATTGGAAGCCTCGAGGGCCTCCAGCTTCGCCGCGTAGAACTGGTCCATCTCCTCGGGCGTCAGTCTACCCTCCACGATGGCGGGGGCTTCCCTCTTGAAGACCAGAATGTAGACCATCTCGGTGGATTTCTCCAACAGCGGCATCTCGTCGTCCACCTCGTCGGCGAGCGCAGCCTCCTCGCTCTGCGGGGCGAGCTTCGCCCGCGACAGGCGGGCGCGCTTGGCCACCGGGATGCCGCCCAGCTTCTCGGGCTCCTCGACGCTCCTCTTAGCCGCCGCCTCGATGTGGAACCTGCTAGGCTCCTGCGCAGCGCTGCCAGACGCACCGGCGTTGGGCGCTGCTGGTCCGTCGCCCTCGTCCTCGCCGGCCGTTGTCGGCTGAGGGTCTCCAGGGGCCGCCGCGGCAGCTACCCCTGTCGGGCCGCCATTCTCGTCCATCTCTATGGGCACCTAGGCGCTGGGCTGATGCTGCTCGCCCATGTCGCCCAGGTTGTCGTCGCGCTGGGGCAAGCGCCCCTCCTCGGCGAGGTCCCGGTAGTTGCAGGTTCCCTTCGTCCGCCTGAGCGCGCGCCTGAGCTTCTCGATCGTGCTGAGCGGGCTGTCGGGGTCCTCGCTGCGCCCTTCTCGTTCGCGGGCCTCGCCCGGCAGCTCGGGGCGAAGCTGCTCCGCGGTGCAACGGTGGATCGTGCGTCCGTGCGTCACCCATACCGCCGAGGCGCGCATCGCGTTGTCCTCGTTGACCTTCGCCTCCACTGCTGCCACCAGAGCTGGGCCGTGCCGGTGGCACTGCTCCGGCCCCTGCGTCTGCTCGGGTCGCCAGAAGTAGACCCGCTCGCCGATCTCGCAGTTCCTCCTCGTTGGCCTGCTGCGCGCCCGCAGCACCGCTCGCGCGGCGCGCGAGCAGTTGGCCTCGATGAAGGCCGTCGCGGCGGTCGTCCTCCTGACCGTCATCTCGCGTCGCTCTTGGGGTCGACCGCCGCGGCCTGCCCGACAGGCCGAAGTCCTCGTCGCAGAGGGCGCCCGGGATCTTGGGCTGCGCCCCCAACGCCAGCGCCGCGGGCGAGAACCCGCGCGCGCCCCTCAGGGCGCCCCCTGGCTGGCGGTCATCCTGAGGGCGGTCTTGAGCGAGTCGTCGGGGAACTGTAGATGGCACTTGCTGAGCTCTTCCCTCCTGGCCGCGCGGTTCCGCTCCATCAGGCCTAATTTGTGGTGCGCACTTTTCGGGATCAGGTCGAGCTGGATGCCGCGCTTGCTCATCCAGTCGCGCGTGCGCTTGGCCGTTCGCGGGCCCCCATGTCCATGCGCATCGTCTCAGGCTTGCTGGCCCCGCTGATCCAGAGCTTCTCCCATAGCTTCGTCTCTCTCATGAACGTCTCCTTCGAGTTCGGGCAGTCGACCTCGTAGCGCGCGAACTCGACCATAATGGCTAGGCTATTCCTCTCATTCTTCTTCCGCGTGATGCAGTACACGGCGGTGCAGACCACCTCGTTGAACCTCTTGGCCCTCGGCAGCACTGCGACGCGAACCGCTCGGGGCCTCTGCCTGCCTGGGCAGATCTCGCACTGGAAGAGCCTGGCGCACTGGATACACTCTGCCGGGGCACCCGCATGCTGCATGGCGACCGCCAGCGGCGTTCGAAGTGTGGCCCAGGCTGACATGTGCACGCCTGACTGCTCGGAACGTCGACACTTTGAACCGCTTCATCAGCTACTGCATCAGGTCGGTGTACTCGATGGCGTCGATGTCCTTGTAGACCACCTCGGCCGCGTCCACGTCGCTGATGTCGTCGGCCATGCCCTGGCAGGCGACCATTTTTGCCATCCCCCTCGCTATCGGTCTCGGGTAGGTCTGAGCTGCTGGGCCAGCTTGCCCCGCAGGATCGCGCGGTCCTCCGTGCGCGCGCATGCCAGGGTCATGTGATGGATGAATTCCTTGTAGGTCGACTTCAGTCTCGTGGGCTTCTGGCATGGTACGTCCTTGCTCTGGATGTGGCACTTTGCTCCTGACCTGCACTGGTCGAGCCTGCAGTGATATCTTGGCAGCGTCTTCCATGTCCTCGTCCGCCAGTGTCGTCTTTGCCACGGGCCTTCCACATGCGCGCGTCGGTTTCCGTTCTGCTGCTTCACAACCGCCGTCAGTAACATCTCGGGAAACGCCCTTCCTTTTTCGCCCCCTGGCACCATTGATCTCCTTGGCGCGCTCCTCAGAGATCTTCTCGTTCACGCGCTGCCAGGAACACCTGTGCTCGCGCGGGGGAGCGAAGAGGATATCGTCGGGCTTGTCGCTGTCGGTCTTGTTCAGGAAGGCGCGGATCACGGCAGGCTTGGAGCAGTCCCAGCCGCTCTCTGTCCTGAACTGGATCACCTCGATTTGCGCAAACTCGAGCAGCTCCTGCGACAGGGCCCCCTGGTCCACGAGGACTTCCCAGAGCAGCCGCTTGCGCGGCCGGCCCGGACGCCGCTTGCTCCAGCGCCAGGGCATCGACCGAATGGGTGTCCGCATCCATCAGGTGGCGCTCCCGGCCCTTGACCTCTCCCGCGGCTAGGGTCTCGTCGTTGTTGCCGATTTCGTAGAACTCCCACGCGTCTCAAAGTGAAAGGCGTCGGGGTCAGGCGCCGACGAGCCACCGTCGTCGCCGTCGTCGCCCTGGACCGAAACTCCTTCAGTGTCCTTTGTCCGTCGAGTCGCTGCTGCTTTCCTCGCCGTCGGCGGGGGCCCCCTCGTTCGTGGCAGCGGCGGCGTCGCGCCCAGCTCCACCCAACAGGTCGATGATGAAATGGCCCTTCTCTGCACGCTCGGACTTGATCCAGCCCTTGCCGGGGAGATCCGTCTCACGAACGTTCCAGCTCGGCAATCCTGGATTAAGCCCCACTCTTCCATTCAGGGTCGCGCGATCAGCAGCGGCGTCCAACCTTCGACGAGATTGATCGCAATCTGCTTCTTGACGCCGAACGGCCACACCGTCAGCGTCACCGTTTGCTTGGCAACCAGCGTCTTGCCGTCTCCGACTCGGAAGCGTCGATCAGTCTTGCTGCACTCGACCTTATGTAACAATTGCCTCGAACGAAGTAGCTCCTCCCACTGCACCCACACCTTGTCACCCATGACGGGCCGCGCGGCGCCTCTATCGTTGATGCGTTTGCCGATGGTCAGCAGGAAGACTTCTTCGGTTGAGTTGGCATACGCCAGCGTCCCAACATCCTCCACCACGCGTGCCCCGTCGTCGGGCTTGGCGAAGCCTCCGCGCCTGAAGCGCTTGAACCTCGGGCCGCGCTGCTGGGTCGCACCCGATACAGTCGACCCCGTTGTTGACGATGGCGCACCCTTGCCAAAAGCTCCCTTCTGAGGCCAGAAAGCTTCTCGTCGTGGTGGGCCAAATCCTTCACCGCGTCCTTTGCCTTTGCCATGTCCTTTGCCGTTGCCGGTGCCTGGTCTCGTCGTTCTCGCGGGTCCAGCGCGGATGTCGCCCTGGTAGTTGTTCTCGGGTGCGAGGGCGACGATCGGGTAGGATCCCCTGGACTTGACGATCTCCGCTACACGCTTCTTCGCGCCCACCAAGCCGAGGCAGGCCTCGTCGTGCGCCACTTCGGCATCCTCGACCTCCTGCGGCAGCTCCCCTGCGACGTCGGCCTCCTCGCGCTCCTCGTGATCGTGCTCCTCGTCGCCCTCGTGCTCGTCCTCCTCGGGGTGCGAGTCTTCATAGCAAGGCCTTGCTCCCACTCGTGATCGTTCGTGTGGTTCACGTCGTCCTTCAAGCTCTGACCTACCAACATCTTCTCCATTCGTTTCACGTCGCGCTTGCCGGGCAAAGCTTCGGCTCTGTATGCGTCGAGCAGGGCTTTCTTCTCTTTCGTCCAGCAGTCCACGCATTGACTAACAACCTGGGTGGCGCCCGATGGTGGAACAGCCGCTCGTGTGAGGAGGTGCTAGCCCGCCAGCATTGTCTGGGATCTCCATCCCAACCTCCTTGAGCTTCCTGAGCTCTCTCTTGTGTCGATGGCAGTGCAGCTTCATCGTCCGCTTCTCTTGGCGAGCGGGTCTACCGAAGAAGAGATCCGTACGGGCTGGCACTTCGGACTGGTTGTCGTACTTGTAGTACTTGTCCAGCACCTGGAACAATGGCCTGAAAGCCTCTCTTCTGTCTCTGGTAAGTCCAGGCCGATGTCCTCCGTAGTCTCCGCGGCCTCACCCTGCAGCGAGTTCATGACTAAGAACGCTTCCTCGCTGACTGCGGTGGTGCCGCGCTTCTTGCAGCACCGCTCGAAGACCTCCAGCTTGCGTCGAAAGACTCGATAGCCGTCGGCCTTCAGCAGCTCATAGCTCGGCGCCGTCTTGGACAGGCCTGCGTCTAGGCCTCGTCCTCCTCCGTCCCAGGTGTAACTCTCCTATCGTGTCCACCAGCCCTGCCAGTCATTCCAGTCCGTGTAGCTGTCATCATCGCCATCCACGCTGCTCGGCGGGATGCGGTTGCCCTGCGCGCCGGTGTGCTTGGCCGGGGGCGGCGCACGAGGCGCGCCGTCTGGCATGGCGGCGACGGAGGAACCGGAGAAAGTGGATCTCCGGCTCATCTACCAGTGTCAACCAAATGCAGCACACGACGTCTCTTCGAGATGTGTTCGATAGAACATATTGATTGTCTTGATAATCGTGTCAGCTCGTGAGATACGCAACCTTTTACCTGATTCAGGGGCCCCCGAACATCAAATGGCAATGATAAAACATATTCGAAGCAGTTGCTACACAATGCTGAAGCTGCTGAGATGTGCTAATACACAAGACTATGTACACATAACTCCGTATGACGGGTGTTAGATTGACATCATGTTGCATGGCCTTGCACCACATAGATTGCACCGCATGGACTGCACCGCCTTGATTGCACCAACTTCACTGCGCCACCTATAGAATGCATCACGCAGGTTGCAAGACATCGCGGTTCGGAGTCCACTCTGGCTAACTGGGCAGATTATCTCCATCTCTATTAATTTGTATGTATGTAATCACGCGTGCATGCATGTGTACGTATACGGTTACGGCCCTCTCCTCGACCGTCCCCCCCCCCGCGAGTCCACATTTCTTCTTGCCTCTGACAGTCGTGCAAGGTCGCCCGGCTTCTTGATTCTCCTGGGCGATGATTTTGCCGCCTTGAAGAGAAAGAGGAGGAGGATCGGGCCTGTCACTATCGTGTGAACGTGCCGTGCAGGACTTCCCGAAGTGCGACCTGTTGCTGGTCATTGGCACCTCGCTTGCGGTGCAGCCGTTCAACCAGCTTATTAGCGCGGTCGCGCGCCTCAGCGTTCGACGCTTTCCTCACACGCCCGCAGCCGTTCAGAGCCAGTCCGAGTTCTCAATTCGGGGGGCGTGAGGTGTGGGGAGGGGAGGAGTGGGCGCGGAGGGGGGATCGTCAGCATTGGGACTTTCCCACATCACTGGATCTCAGCAGCAGGACAACTTTGTCGGCCGTCGATGTGTAACGTGTGAGGTTGCAGCTGATGATTACCTTGTGTGTTTTCATCGCTAGGCGTCGGCTTACGAGCGAGGATGCGATACAGCCATCCTCTCAGGGCGGCAGCTGCGGAATACTGCACGAGACAGACTGCAGGCATGCTGCACAATCCTTCACGCTTCGCGTATATCCACCAGCCCCTTCAGAAACGTTGCCCATGAGGGTTGAGGGGAAAAGGGACGACGAGAGAGAGCGAAAGAGAGATAGTGAAACAGAGCGAGCAACCAGGATGAACAGAGAGATCTCTGGGAGCAAGGGGGGGTGACCTTGGAGGGACTCTTCCAGCCAAACCCCTGGGGCCCGCGGGGGGGCGATGGGAGAAGGAGGAGGAGGAGGAGCAGGAGGAGGAGGAGGAGGAAGAGGAGCAGGAGGAAGGCGACAACGACGACGACCACGAGGACGAGGAAGAGGAGGAAGACAAGGAATAAGATGAGGTCAAGGACGACGACGAGGACGAGGAGGAGAAGGGTGAGGACAACGAGCACGAGGACAGAGCCCTCAGAATCGCCTTTGGGAGCCCTCTCGGGGGTCGAGTGGGCGCCCTGGCGTTCGTGGAGGGCGTCGGTAAAGAGAAGGGGATGCTGACGTTTGGTATCCCCCCCTCCTCCTCCTCCTCTCCTCCTCCCCCTCCTCCTCCCCTCCTCCTCCCTCCTCCTCCTCCTCCTCCTCCTCCTCCTCCTCCTCCTCCTCCTCCTCCTCCTCCTCCTCCTCCTCCTCCTCCTCCTCCTCCTCCTCCCCCTCCCCCCCCCCCCTCCCTCCTCCTCCTCCTCCTCCTCCTCCTCCTCCTCCTCCTCCTCCTCCTCCTCCTCCTCCTCCTCCTCCTCCTCCTCCTCCTCCTCCTCCTCCTCCTCCTCCTCCTCCTCCTCCTCCTCCTCCTCCTCTTCCTCTTCCTCCTCTGGAGCTGGTATTGGGCGTTCTTGGGGTCGTCTTTGGGGCCTCTTGCGCCTCTCTTGGGCCTCTCTTGGACCATCTTGAGGAGATCTCAAAAGGCGCACCGGAAGCGAAGCAACGAGAAGGCACATGTGTGTGGGGACCACACGGATGCTCTTCCAGCCTCGGCCCGTCGTGTCTAAACACAGCACATTTCGAGCAGAGGCGCCCACGGTCCGACGCCTTCGCCTCTGCCGTACATTCCGCTACCGTTGGTCTCACGCTTCAGCGCGCCGAGGCCCCGCGCCAACTCAGATGGTGGCGGGCCTCTGCGCGGCCTTGTCGGCGGCTGGGCCTGGCGTGCTGCGGGAGCTGGCGCGTGGGGCCGTGGCCGAGGCGGCGCGGGTGGCGTTGTCGGGCGCGTCGGGCGCTCAGGCTTGCGCGCCCTGTTCCGATTGCCCCGCTGCCTGCCTGGCCTGCCTGTGCTGCCCGCCGCCCCCGCCCTGCGCGGCGTGGGAGTGCGCCGCGGTTGGCCCGTCCTGGGCCCTGGCGGCGGCCGGGCCGCCGGCGGAGGGCACCGCCTGGTCGCTCCTGCTGCTGGTGGCGCTGGCGAGCTTTTTGGCGGGCCGCTGGAACGCGCCGCCTGAGGCCGCCCCACGGGTGGCTGCGTCGCGCGAGTATGTCGACTTACGAGGAGCGTCGGCCGGGGGTCCGCTTATTGATGGGGTTCGACGGCGACGAGTGGACGCATGAGCGCATCCTGCTTGGGCCCGTGCATCGAGACAGTCGCCACGAGTGCTGGGTGATTGAGACTCCGGATGGCGACCGCTACGTGGAGCGCAAGGCCGAGTGGCGGTGGCACGTCTCGCTGCCGCATGGTTGGCCCGAGGGCTTCAGTGGCAATGTCGCGCGGTTCCAGTCGGTGGGCCCCGAGGCGCTGCGTCAGATGGTGCTGGAGGGGCGCGATCTGGCCTGGGAGGAGAGCCGACGGCGCCGGCTGCCGAGGGGCCTCGGGGCGCACCTGGGCGAGGAGCCGCGCTCGATGGTGGACTGGCAGGGCGACGAGTGCGGGCTGGACCTCGGCGTGCTGGATGCTGCCGAGCGCCGGCTTCGTGGCAAGCGGCCGTTGGCCGCGGGCGCGCGGGCGCCCGAGGTGGCCGGCGACGAGGCGGCCGCGCGCCCTGCGCCGGGCCCCGCCCCTCTGGGGGATGTGGACACCGTGCTGCTGGTGACGGAGCTGCGCGCCGGCGGCGGCCTGGAGCTGGGTGGCGAGGTCATCCTTGGGGACGCCGACGTCGCCGATGTGGGCGATGGAGATCGGGCGGCGGACGGACGGCCGCCGCGTGCTCTGCGAACGAGTGGCGACCTCCGCCGTGGAGGAGTGGCGGGCCCAGGCGCTCGCGAATGCCAGGCGTCTGGTCTCGCCGCCGGCGGCGCCCGCTGGCCCGCCCCCTGGCGAGGGCCGAGGCCCAGTTGACCGGCCCTGCGAGAGGCGCCGCGCGGCGAGGTGGTGGGCGACGACGCGCCTAGCGCCTAGCGAGGCCGGCGCTGCCGCTGGATCGGAGGAAGTCAGGGCGCCCGCCGTGGAGTGGAATGAGCAGGGCGCCCGCTCAAAGGAGTGGCGGCGCGCTGTCGGAGAGAGCAGCGAGGGCGCCCCGGATGGCCGCAAGCTGCGCCGCGCGGACACGGCACCCCACTCGCGCCAGCGATTCGTTCGGCACGGCGGCGACCCGAAGACGTGCATGCCCATTTTCTGCCGGGAGTACAACATCAGCCAGCGGGACAGGACATCTCACGAGCTGAACTGTCTGGCCACCATCTTCTGGCTGGCTGGGACGTTCGACGCGGCGAACCTCGGCGGCTCGGCTTGCCTCGAGGCGGCGGCCCGCCGCGTGGCGCAGATCACCGAAGCGCGTCGGGTCGCGCCGGGTCAGCCCGCGGCGCGGGAGGCGGGGCGGCCCCTGACCGGGGCCAGCGACCCCTTCGACGCGGCGTCGCCCGGGCCCCGCCCCTTCGCGAACCGCGCTGCCCGCGACGAGGCCGACGGGCTGGCCGCGCTGGGGCGAGGGCGGACGCTGGCTGCAGGCGGCCGCAGAGCTAGCGGCCCCGAGGACGTGGCGGGCGCGCTGGAAGCGGGAGGCCTCCCCCGAGCTAGAGCTGACGACGGCGATGGCAAGGGCGGCGGCAGCGGCCGAGGTCGCGGGCGGAAGACGCAGCCCAGCGACGCGGCGGCCGCCGCCCCATCGAACTGACGGGCGCAGGGCTGGGGGTGGGGCGCCCCCCCGGCCTGGAGGCTGAGGCCGCGCGCGGCGTGCAGATCTACCTTCTGCCGCAGCTGCGCGAGCTGCGCCGACGTTGCAGGCCCGCTCGGTCGACGTGATCGGCCCCGAGTGCGACGATTGGCCAGCGACGGTCTGGCGAGCTCGAATGGGTCGCGCGGCGCCGAGCATCGGGGCCGCCCAGCTGGGCCGCGCGATGCCGCGCGGCGGAGCTGCGGCGCGAGACGCAGCGGCGGGCGCAGCTACTGGCGGCGAGCTTGGTCGGGCCCGCCTGCGCGGGGGATTCGCAGCAATGTCTGGCGCGACTGCTGCGGGGCCGCGGCGGGCGCGCCCAGCTGGCCCATGCGACGCTGACCCTCTCCCCCCGCGCCCGGCGGCCGGCCCCCGACGACCCGTCGGGGCGCCGGAGGCGGCGCGGATCCAGTTGAAGGATTTCGAGAATCACATGATGCAGTCGCCGCTGGAGGTGGGCGAAATCAACGCAGGGCGCGGTCCAGTTCGGCTATATATGGGCCGAGTTTTGAGTCGCGAGCGCCCTGCCTACATCGGCCCAGCGAAGCGAGTGCTGAAGGTGGGCCCGGTGCGACTGTCGACCACCTGCGGCTGCCAGGCGGGGTCTTCTTCGCTCAGAAGAAGGGTGGCCGCCAGCGGCTGTTCCTGGGCCGCCGCCCGGCGAATCGCTTGCTCAGGAGCCCGCCCGGGGTTGACCTCGTCGGCGGCGACGGCCTGAGCCGCGTCGAGAGGTCGGCGCCGCGCGGCCCCGAGGCGAGGAGCTGGACGGCGCCCTGGGAGGCCCGGGATTTGATTGGGCGCGAGCGACGGGAAGGATTGCTCCCGCCGCCACCTCCTGGATGACGGGCCCGGCCTGCAGGGGCATTTCGGGCATCCGCCGCTGCGGGCCGCGGAGCTGGGCCTGTCGCAGCTGGGCGGGGCGGCGCTGGGGCGTGACGCGCGGATCCACCCGCTGGCCCGCGCGTCGCCCATGGGGTGGGCCTGGTCGCCGTGCTTCGCCCAGGCGGCCAACTCGCACCGCATGGCGCAGTTGCTGAGATGGGCGGCGCCCTGCCGATGACGGACTGCGGCCCCCCGCCCCGCTCATTCTGGATGGCCCGCAGGTCCTGGGCCGTTGCGCCTACGTGGACAATCTCGGCGTGCTCGGGGCGCCCGAGTGCCAGGCGGGCACTTGTCTGGAGGCTGCCGCGGCGTCCTTCGGCGGGGTGGGCCTCGAGGTCCACGAGACCTCCCTGACTGGCGGTGGCGGCGAGGCCCCGGGCGCGCAGCTCGACGGCCGCGGGGGCTGCGCCCGCCCCGCGCCCCCAAGTTGCGGCGAGTCTGAGGCGCGGCGCAGGCGCTGCTGCCGCGCCGCGCCGCGATCGGGCTCAAGCTGGACATCGTTGTCGGGCACTTCGCCTTCCTGGGCCCGGCGCGCCGGGGGAGCTTGAGCTGCTTCCGCTGAATGTGCCGCTTCCTCCCGCGGCACCACTTCGAGGGGGTCGCCCTGTGGGCCAGCGCGGAGCAGGAGCTGCGGGCTTTCTGCGGGCTGATGGTATTTTAGCCTACCGATTGGGGCGCCAGGTGGTTGCCGCGCGCGCCAGTCCGACGCGTCCCTCGACGGCCTCGCGTGGC